TATGTACTTCCCTTGGTTGGACACTTCAAGGTCCTGCCAGCTTGATTCCTCTCCCCTGTTATGAGCAGCAGTGTTTCTTTACTGCAGTTGAACCTACCCACTGTGATCTTCAGAAGCATGTGGAGAAATTGTGGCAAATTGACACTTTGCCTTATATCAGTGAGAAAGCCGCCACCCGATCCAAGCTTGATCAGCAAGCATTTGACTTGCTTGAGCAGCGCACTGTAAGGGTGAATGTCAGTAAAGAGCTGTCTATTCCTGCAAGTGATATTATTCTATGGACCGATTCAACAAGAGTCCTGAGCTGGCTGAGATCAGACTCCTGTCGCTACAAAGTCTTTGTCGGGACACGCATCGCTGAAATCCAGGACAAGACTTTAGGGTCAAATTGGCAATATGTCAATACCACCGATAACCCAGCGGATGACCTGACTAGGGGGAAGACTTTGTTAGAGTTGAGCAAATCTAAGCGCTGGAGTCAAGGACCACTCTTCCTCCATCAACATCCCAATACCTGGCCATCCCTGCCTGAATTAGCATCTCCTGATGACCGTGATGAGCTGAAAAAACAATCATTCTGTGGAAATGCATGTCTTGTCAAGTCTCAACCTGACATCTCCAATATTAAGAGTTGGAAAGAACTGTTGAAGGCTACTCACCAGTCCCTTCATGGGGCGGCTGCTATCATGACTGCAGCCGAGGTCATAGCAGCTGAACTACACCTGTTAAGACAAGCTCAGAAAGATAGCTTCCCAGAAGAGGTGGCCACGCTGACCAAAGGTAAATCCATATCGACCCAGAGTCGTCTTGCTTCACTTTCCGCTGAGTATGATAAAAACCTTGACTTAATCCGAGTCGGGGGACGACTCCGCCGAGCTGAGGGCCTAGATCCAGACACAATACATCCCATAATACTGGACCCTAAACATCTGATTACAATGCTCTTAATCAAAGAATATGACAACCAGCTTCTGCATCCAGGTCCAGAACGGGTCTTAGGTGAAATCAGACGCAAGTACTGGAACCTGCGTGGCAGAGAATCCATCAAGAAACACCAGTACAATTGTGAGACTTGTCAAAAGTGGAGAGCAAGTCCTGTAATTCCGAAGATGGCAGACTTGCCCCCCTCACGACTAAGACTGTACAAACCACCTTTCTGGTCCACTGGTATAGACTGTTTTGGCCCTTTCACTATCAAAATAGGCAGACGCACAGAGAAGCGCTGGGGCATCATATTCAAATGTATGACAACAAGTTGCATACATCTTGATCTTTTAGAGAGCATGGACACGGATGCCTTTCTGATGGCATTAAGACGATTTGTATCACGTCGTGGTAAGCCATATGAGATACTTGCTGATAGAGGCACAAACTTCAGAGGAGGAGCCACTGAACTCCAGGAAGTCTTCGCATCGTTACAAGGTCCACTTGAAGAACATCTAGCCGGCCAGGAAATTGCTTTCCAGTTTAACCCTCCAAATGCTCCACACTTTGGAGGAACCTGGGAGCGAGAGGTACGGTCGGTGAAAACTGCTCTTCGGGTAGTCTTGGGCAATCGAACAGTGACTGAAACAGTCTTGCGTACAGTGTTGGTAGAGGTCGAGGGAATCCTCAACTCTAAGCCACTCGGTTACGTTTCATCAGATGTTGCCGATCCAGACCCTGTCACACCGAATCTGTTACTGATGGGTCGTCGGGATGCCTCACTCCCACAAGCAATGTACTCATCTAGTGATCTGTTAGGGAGAAGACGGTGGCGACACAGCCAAATTTTAGCCGATCACTTTTGGGTAAACTTTATCCGACATTACTTACCAAGCCTACAGCCCCGGCAAAAATGGCAAAAGGACACTGCCAATCTGAGTACTGAACAGATCGTCATGATAGTTGATCCCCAGTTGCCCCGAGCTTTGTGGCCTATTGGCAGAGTGACTAAAACATTTGCAGGAGTAGATAATCGTATACGCACTGCAGAAGTGCAAGTGAAAGGGCGCACTTATCTACGGCCTGTTGCCCGGTTAGTTAAGTTGCCATCGTGGGAGGATGAAACAAAAAAATAGTAACTGACACTGAGACTTTCCTAAATAATTACAAATTTAGATACTAAATTTGGGGGCGGCAATGTAGGAAAGTATTTTCCTTTAGTTTCACTTTAATATTTTACCAATAGAGGGCGCATATCTTTTCATCTTACTGATACCTATACACCTTCCCTTTAAGACACTGC